CTTTTCCATCACTACTGTGGCCAGAAAGAGTCCCTGTGTGTTTTAAAATTCGCCTGCCCACTGAAGTCAATGGCGGTTCGGGCGGTTCGCCGGTTCGCGAACATTTGCGGAAGTTTGCGTTCGCTGTTCGCGAACCGAAAATTTCGGGTTCGCGACATCACTACCCATCATACACTGCTGTACTAGAGAGATAATCACCCCAGAGTGCATTGTTACTGGGATTATCTCCTGGTACAGCAAAATACAGTTTTTACATTAAAATCTATAACTAACATAATATTCCTGCTATGCAGCTAATAGACCCCTTATTACATAGCTGGGACCTGAGTGCATTATTGAGGGAACTAGCGCTCAGATCCCTGCACAAATAACCGAACGCCGTTCATTTTACACGATCAGAACCACCCGGCTTAAAACAGTTGTACTGACTGAGGAAATGAAATTCCCAAAAGAATAAAACTCCCGAACAGCTTGGAAGTCCAGCGGGGCTTGTATTGCCAAGTAGCTGATATTAGTTTCAGGCACTCGACGACAAAACCCAGCTGGCTCTCCGAGAACAAAGATGGCCACCGCCACATGTTCGGTACAAGAATGGCGGCGACCCGCAACATACATTAATTGGGCATGGATACAATGTTGGGGTGGTCTCTGTGGCAGAACCAGCCTCGCCACTGGGCATTGGAGAAGACTGATTGCCGGCCTTCTGCCCTGTGACTATGGCCCCATGTTGAAAGGATGGATTTTCCCCTGCAAAGACCCAAAAGCTGGGTCTTTCGGTACTTTCCCCACGTGAGCAGTGTTACCCAGATAGCTATGCCATGGAGCCCATTCGTATAATGAAAGACTATGGGAAAGACTTTGGCTCCATGGCAATTGAACTGTATGTGCGTGCTCTGAGCACCATTCAGTAATAATGTGCGCTCAGATCTGAGCTATCTGGGGATATGAATGTACCTGTTTTGTGCAATGGCTGCACAGTTATATGTTTTTATGTGTTTTATTGTCTTTTGCTGCCATGTGTTCAATGGAGTTTTGCCTCTGTCCTTGGAGATAAGTGGATTACTTCCCACTTATCTCCAGGATAGAAGACTCTGTGGAACTGGTTTTGGGCAGAAAAGCCATACTTCCTTTGGTCACAAAGGACTACGATCTATCTTTTGAACCACTGGACCAATATGTATGATTTTGACATATGTTTGTATTTTGAATATGCTGATTCTGAATGTAAGGTTTATGTGAATGTGATGCATACTTTTCAAGTTATGAATAATGTGGAAAAACTGTATTTCTCTGGCTGTGATAATTAGATTAACCATTGTGTTCAGTAATCATATCACAGGCAGAGGGGAGGATTTTGTGTGGGAGTGTCTTTCTGTAATGTACGTGTGTTATTCGTTGTTATGTAAAACCCTGTGGGCAGTACTAAGTTTGTGGATTGGGAATAAAAGAGGCTGTATGTGCCAGTCCAGTGAGTTCCTGCTTAACCCTCAAAGTGAAGTGCCGTCTCATTATTGGGGGAGGATTTATTGTATGCTGTTCCAGTTTGACTGCTAGGAGTGTAAACCTACTCGCATGGTTTCTCCTATTCGACTGTATACAACATTCATATGCTTCTCCGGTTCGGTGGTGTCTGCTGCAGTGCTTGGGGTCCTCAGGAAGCGCTAGGAGCATCCTTCAATGGAGGTACCCAGTCGGGGTGCCAGGTGATCCGTTACATTGGTGGCAAGCGGTGGGATGGCGTCCTAGTGCGAGGTAAAGCAGCTCAGAGACACCGTTCGTGGAGTTACAAATTGGGGGCAACGCTAGCACACGTGCAGCGCCCCTGGGAGCAAAGGTATCCAGCGACTTGGAGCAGACAAGTATGGAAGGCTCTGGCGATGATTGGATGGCCGAGATGAGGCAGCGAGTGGCCCAGTATGGGGATGATCTACCCATGGAGGTACGCCGGGTGATCTGGAACCAGGTTACAGCCGAGCGAAACACAAGGCTGGCCCAAGAATTCCGGCTGGCGAAAGAGAGAGAATATACTCAGCGGAAGGAGTGTTACAGCAGCCGAGTAGAGGCTGCATCCGAGGAGGCTAGCCATCTTCCCCTGAGGCGGCCGGAGGAACCCGAAGTAGGGGTCCTCATAGACTGGTCCTGTGAGGAAACACAACAGGTAGGTGGAGATAGGACCGAGGTCCAGCCGGCCCAGATCTCCAGCAGCAGCCGGAGTTGCGAGGTGCGGAAGCAGATGGTCCTTACTCGCAAATGTTGAGAGACCTCACAGATTGGTCCTGGGAAGACCCACAGATAGCAGGTGGAGATTGGACGGCGGTCTCTCTACCGGCCCTACAGGGATGCTGGGCAGTCGGCCCAGACTCCCAGCGGCAGTCTGAAGTGCAGGGAGTGGAGAGCATCGTCTCCCCTCCCCAGCGGCAGTGTACCTTGCAGGGAGATGAGAGTAGCGTCCTTCCTCCCCAGCTGCAGGGTGAGCTACAGGGATGCTGGACGGTCAGCCCAGATCCCCAGCGGCAGATTGATTTGCAGGAAATAGAGAGCCGTGTCTCCTTTCCTCAGCGGCAGTGTGAAGTGCAGGGAGTGGAGAACATCATCTCCCCTCCCCAGCGGCAGTGTACTTTGCAGGGAGAGGAGAGCAGCGTCCTCCCTCCCAAGCGGCAGGGTGAGCTACAGGGATGCTGGGCGGTCAGCCCAGATCCCCAGCGGCAGATTGATTTGCAGGAAATAGAGAGCCGTGTCTCCTTTACCCAGCGGCAGTATGTTTCCCAGGGAGCGGAAGGTGCAGTCCTTCCTCCCCAGCGGCAGTGTGTCCTGCAGGAAGCGGAGACAGTCGGTCTTGCTGCAGTGCTTGGAGTCCTCAGGAAGCGCTAGGAGCATCCTTCAATGGAGGTACCCAGTCGGGGTGCCAGGTGATCCGTTACAGTCTCCCATTCGGTACTTTGCTTGTTCCACGAACAGTGTGGAGATTCACTGTTCGTGGATAGCTGTGGCAAACCTAGCCACTTACAGAGTATTATATATATATGTATTAAGGCAATTTGCCTGCATTTGTGGGAGGTGCTGGTTTGCTACCCCTAGCCTACTTAAGGCACTCCCCTTGCCTGGCTCCTTACCGTTCGAGGTCAGCGTTGAATGAGGATCCACTTCCGGGTTCTCTCAGACGCCATCTTGGTTTCAGTATCCAGGAGGTTTCACCACGTTAAGCTGTGTCCAGGAATCCTGTTCAGGCCTTTCCGCCCGTCCAGCTTCTTCTGACTCCGTTCTCCGTCGTAGATCGCGTCCCAGGGACTCCTAAACCGTAAGTCAGACCTTCCTGTCACGCCAGGACTGGTTCCCACGGCGTACGGTACAGCATGGGTCCTCGCTTTACGGCTTTTTCCCTGGTTATGACACGAATGTTTCAAGCCATTCGCGGGCTTTTCATTCGTACGGTCATTCGGTTGAACATATTTAAATCGTTCAATAGTCATTTCACATATCCTATTTCATGTTATTGAAACGAATTATCATTCGGTTGTTTTGCCGTTCGGCAAATTTTTACATACGCTCATACATGCTTTTGGTTCGCATAAATCATACGGTTAAACTATTCTAACTTCTGTGTTCCCCTCACATTTGCTTTCGGCTTTTCTGTGTGTTCACGTATAATCCTTTCATGAATTATGTTCACCATTTCATGTGTATATAACGTTCGGTTAAAGAATTGCTTGCTTAATAGATTTTGATTACTTTTAAAATATTGTCAGTATTGTATTACGTCCACAAATCAAGTCCACTTCTCTGTGTATACCATTTGACTCCCACGCTTTCAGGGGTCTGCATTACTTATCCATTTATACAAATGGACTCAGCCTATGTTACAAGCCTCACTTCTGGGTTATTAATACAACACATACAAAGGATATAGGTTCATTTAAGCAATAATTCTCGGGTTGATACGTCTTTTCTATACAAACATATCATATAGATATACATCACTTTACATCATTTTAAATCATTTTGGGGTATCCCTGCCTTTGGTTATTCTGCTACATATCATACATAACGCTGTGTTAATTAGGCCATGACCTCATCCATGTCCCTTTCTATAAAACCAGTTACATTTCGGTACAGATCATTGAACTCCCACGCCAGGAGTTTTATAACTATCCATTTCATTTCAATTTACTCAGCCTACATTACAGGCCTCATTTCTCTGTCATGACGATGACACATAAGGCTTAAATCCTTTTGCATGCATACTCGGGTTGAATCACACGTACTGATCCAACCAATCATACGTCCCCTGCACAGTCATATACATATGTATATAACCTACGTTTCATGTTTTCCTTTACACACCATTATCACGTAACACATAGATTGTTTGTACATAGGCCACGGCCTCCCTCAGATGTCTTATTCAAGCATGCAAACATTTCTGAGCCACTCATAGCTATTCCCATGGTATCAACATAATTTTATACATTGCTGCTACAGACTATAAGTCTGGTTCTTTTTACACTCCACACTCATCATACTACTCTGTTTTACCCATTTTTTAGGCTGTCAAGCTTATATAATTGCTCCACACGGTTTATTCCTGTGATTTATCATACTATCAGGTACGTACACCTGCTCATATGGTATTCTACCATACATTTCATTTCATCCCCCTAGTTTAGAGTACTGGCAATAGGGTCACAGGATTCCCAATAGGTATTTACCCCGTCTTGGCTGTCGCCATCAGTTAGTGGTCCCGCGAGGCCAACACCCCGCCTCAAACGTTTCGGAGGCAAACACCCATCGGGCCACACGTTAGCTAGCCGCCTCGCATGTTGCAAAGAGAGGGCCTCACCTGTCACTCCCTTCCCCTGTTTTCTGTCGTACAGTCACCGAGAGGCCTACAACTCCTGC